CATAAGTTTGGGGGGAGAGACGAGGAATGTAACAAAGTGGTAAAATGTACAAAATGAAGAAAAGGAAAGGCAAATAAAAAAAAGAAAATCAAAAAGACAAAAAGAATGATCAATGTAGAAAAGAATGAAGGGATTCAATAAAAGTAAAGAGATAAAAGGTGTGGAAAGTTGATAAAGGAGAAAACGATTTGAAATGAACAAGAAAGAGTGACAATGTGTCTCTCTAACCCCTTAGAAAGAAGTTAAATGACTTAAAAAGTCAAGAGAATATGTGCCAAAATGAAGCAAAAGAAGTGCTAAAGGGAAGATGGAACCTACTTAGACCAAACATTTCCTACCCTAAACTAAAATCCTTCACTATATCTCCACAAAAGCCCTATATGATCTTGAGTTGAATGAAGCTTACATTAGTGGTGACTTGCATAAGGGGCAAGTATATGGTACTTAGAGCCGGACTTATGACTTTTCTTTGAGAGAGATGAGTGTATTTCCATTAACCTTGTTCTAAGTGCTACAATCCTAAAGGTGAGGTTTGATTAGGGAGAGTTGAGGATGTGTGAGTTTGGGTTCCACAATGACCAAGGTAGTAGAAAGAGTTTCTTTGATGTGTTGAGTCAACTCTTGATGCTCTTGTGTCTCACTAAATCCATGGTGTTTAAAAGAGTTAATGTTGTTAATAATTCATTTGAATTGAGGGCAATCGTTAGTCCCAATTGATGCTAGATAAGGTCACTTTACGTCAGCTGGATTTTCTTGGATTTACTCTTAAGAGGTGGGTCTTATTTTGTTTGCTTGAGGACAAGCAAAAGCTTAAGTTTGGGGGAGTTGATAACTAGGGATTATGATGCATTTTACACTCCTTCTTACTTGAGGTTTGATGAAAAATGTGTACAAAATAGTCCCAAAGGCTTACATGTTGTACTTGTTTGCAGGGTTTGGTCAACAAGGTGACAATTCGTCAAAACCAACTCAAAAGGGAGTGAAACATGCACAAGTACCAAGAACAAGTCCAAGCACAGTGCAACAGGTCCAATGCAGTCGCACTCCATTCTGTGCGGTCCGCATTGAGGAAGTTCAGAGAGGTAATCATTTCAGACACTCAAGCAATGCAGCCGCAAAACAGTTTGTGTGGACCGCATTGGCTTCATGCGGCTGCACTCGATATTGTGCGGTCCGAAAAGCTGGAGTTCAAAGAGTTACTAATTTGGGGAATCATTGCTAGTGCGGTTCGCTGTCCTTTTTTTTGCGGACCTCAATAGAAGCCACCGCGGCCGTGATGCATTTTGTGCGGCCCACGGTGGCCAAGTTCAGAGAGCAGAGTTCAAAGCCAAGAATCCTCAATGCATCCGCACTCGATTTTGTGTGGACTGCACTACCCCCGTCGGGGTATTTTTGTACAGAAAATTTGGCCTAGTATAAATAGTTTCTTTTCCCATTTTTAGGTCATCAGCTGTATTTTAACGTTGGGATGCGCTCGTGAACACTGTTTCTTACCCATTTTGAGTAATTTTACAATAGTTTTATCATTGAATCTTCAAGTTTTAGCTTGTAATTAAATATTATGGGTTTTTCTTCATCTATTTCTTTGTTTTCTTCTATTATCATGAGTAGCTAGACTCATTAGCTAGGGTTGTGGCTCAACCCTAGTGTGGGTATTTGATAGGTCTTGTGTTTTAAGGCTTGAATGGCTATGGGTGTTTGATATTTGGACTAATTTATGGTTTTAATGTTCAATTAGTGGTTGCAAACACTAATTTGTGCCTATTTGACTTGGGTTCTTCTTGAGAAAGAGAACTTGAGTCTGGAAAAATTAGTCCAACAAAGAATTAGGGCGTATTCAAGAGATTGATAGCCCCAATTAAAGGGTTAAACCTAGAGATAGTAATACCCGACTTGAACCTAAATTGCTTGCACAAATTATCATACCCAATTGGTCTTGAAAAAGTCAATTAGGGCAAAATCACTCAAACTATCGAGAGATATAGAGTGAGAAGTATCGTGCAATGGTTATATCATAATCCCAAATGACAACCTAGCCTTAGACTCGAGAATCCGTCAAGTATCCATCTAGGAAAAAGTCACTTCCCTAGTGCTTTTTAACTATTTAGGCAACCCTTCAAGTATCTTACTCTTAGCTTAACTTAGCTTAATTTAGCTTCTTATTAGTATAAATTTAGAAGTAATATCAAAACCAACTATGATTAGAAGTGCAATTAAGAGTAATTACGCATCTTTAACTTAGATAGAATCCCAATTCCCATTTCTAGCTCCCTGTAAAAATCAATCCCGACCTTCTCGGGTAAAAGCTGCTTTGACCACTCTCGCTACTTTGTAGTAGTGTAGGGTTGGCAACGATCAACGTAACATGGTGTTTGGCCTCCCATCTGCCCTTAGACAAAACTCGCCACTTACACCTATTATAAGTCGAGTGAGTCGCCATCTTCCGAGCCCAATCTGTCAGGTCGGGGAACTCGTACGGCATCCATGAAATTGCTGCAGAAAGGGAAAGGAAGGTGCATTTACGGAACCTGCCTACGCCATAAGCAAAACTACAAAGGCACAAGTATATCACTTACATGTAATATTCCATTCCTCGGGAAATGGCAGAAACTCCACAAGGATAATATCGACAGTTTGTACTCGGATGAATCGGCTCATCCATCCCTGATCCCCGTCTTCTTCATCACCAACAACGAAAGGCGTGGTGGATCGGCATCGTAGGGTCAGTATACCCAGATGGTGAAAAGGACGATACAGCCTGATGAGATGACTAAGAGTGAACTCAAGCCCAACTTCTTCCACAAAGAACCTAATCATCAACACTATCCTCCAAAATGATGGGTGAACCTGCGCCAAGGTAACCTGGTACTTTCGGCACAAGTCGATCGCAACCCTATCAAGGGGGCCCAGCGTAAAGGGGTACATGTACACGTTCAAAAAAACCTTGGCGTGATTCATGATGCTCTCTTCTGGGGAAGGTGCCCGCAGTACTACCTTTTCCCCCCCATCTGCAATCTTTCCTTACTGACTCAAGGTGCCCCTCTCCTACTAAAGAGATAAACTTAGAGGCATACTCCCAATGACCCCGAGCATTTTGGGTCAAAAAACCTTCAAGGACGGAACTCTCCTCTCTTTGCCGAGCGGACCCTGGTGTAGTAGCCATACCTGTGGCAAAACTAGGGAATTGGAGTGGGAATTCGAGCAAGGGCATCAAAGTTGAAATGGCGAAGGGCCTAACGCAAGAGAGAAAAACTCTATAGAGGAGGATAACTACTCGGAATAGCGGAATCCTCAAAAGAAGGAATACAACCCTATATGTGGAGAAAGCGGCGACCATCCACCTGCCTCAAAGGCCAATGAAAATACTGACTAAGCTATTAGCGGAATTGCCTTGGTCGCTTCATAACCATGTCATGCAATTAACGCTGCCATACGATATTTTAAGGATCAAAAACTCCCACATCATTACGAGCCTCGAGATGGTACCCGATCTTGAGGACCTCCACCAAGAAGAATATGTGCTCTAAGGAGCCATTGACATCATTATAAGCCGCGAAATGGTACCCGATTCGAGGTCTTCTATCAAGGAGATAGGATCTAAGGAGCTATTGATATCATTATGAAACTCGAGATGGTACCCGATCTCGAGGACCTCTATCAAAAAGAAGATAGGCTCCAAGAAGCTATTGACATCATTACAAGCCTCGAGATAATACCCGATTTCGAGGTCCTCTGTCACGAAGAAGATAGGCTCTAAGGAGCCATTGATATCATTACGAGACTTGAGATGGTACCCGATCTCGAGGACCTCTGTCAAAAAGAAGATAGGTCCAAGAAGCCATTGACATCATTACAAGCCTTGAGATGGTACCCGATCTCGAGGTCCTCTGTCAAGAAGAAGATAGGCTCTATGGAGCCATTGATATCATTACGAGACTCGAGATGGTACCCGATCTCGAGGACCTTTGTCAAAAAGAAGATAGGCTCCAAGAAGTCATTGACATCATTACAAGCCTCGATATGGTACCTGATCTCGAGGATCTCTATCAAAAGAAGATAAGCTCTAAAAACCTACTCATATGGGTTTGGCCTCAAGGTGGTACCCTATCTCGAGGATTTCTGCTATTGTAAGTACGGGTAATTTACCTGAACCTCTGGCCCTCGAGCTACTTGAGTCCTTGGGTCGAGTTAAAACCGTCCTCTCAATTACTTTAACCCAGGGACCATCTAAATCCAGGTAAGCCCTCATCCGGAATCTATCTGCAAAGCCTTAATGCTATCCAGGTCACCCAAGCTCGAGCAAACCCCCACTCAGGGTCTACTCTCAAAAGCCTAAAGGCTATCTTTATTCCCAGGCATCCGAGCAAATCCCCCCTCGAGGACTATCACGAGGTCTGAAAGGCTAAGTTTCGTTCTGAAAGTTTGAAGCCCTACTCTCATTCAACTCGAAGTCGGGGGTCCCGACGACCCGAGTTTATCAATCCAATCCGGGCTCGGTCCAAGGAACGACAAAGAGTTCCATATGGAATTGTGTTAATCAATCAAGAGCCAGAAAAATACTTACACCCGGGCTCTATTCGTACCAATCCGTAGAGTCATGCATTCAGATTCTTCACAAATGCAGATAAAGGGAAATATAGCATAAATCAGAGACAAATTGAAGAAAGATCTTTGTATCCATAAACACATGATTACAAAAGCCCACGAAGGGTCCTTACATATGATTACAAAAGCCCACGAAGGGCCTTACACAGAAACAGAGAAGCAAAAGAAAAAAGAAAAAATCGTATATAACAGCTACGAGCCTAATCCATTTTCCGGGGTACATCCTCGGGGGCAGTGTCTTCGAGAACCATTCCCTCGGGGCCTTCTCTCGATCTTCCAAACGGTATCTTCAATATTAAAGAAGAAGCAGAAAACGATGACGAAGAAGAAGAAGAAAAAGATGAAGAAGAAGCAGTAAAAGATAAAGAAGTTGATGGGTGAAATATCTAGCGAGTATGGGTCTCGCCAATACTACTATTGTGAATCCACTTCTTGAGACATTGCACCGGTGCGGGATGCAACAGTTAGTAGATGGCACCACCTCGCTCCACGGAAAGCAAAAGGAGCGAGGTGCTGCACCGGGTAATTAAGGAAGATGAGTAGAAGTTCGTGGTCCATGTATCCTTTAATGCGAAGGTAATTTGAGATTTCTCTCTCATTACCTCGGGCCAACAACAACAACAAATCAGTACAATCTCGCTGGGAAGGGAAAGCTTTGGAAAGAGGCCATGGTGCAACTGGTGAGGACGTTTCCATGTAACCTTAAGGCCACGGGCCTCAAACATAGGAAATAATAATGGATGAAGATGAAGAGAAGAAAGGGGTAAAGGGATAATTGAAGAACATTTGAATAAAGTTTTGATTCAAGAAGGCTTTCATTTATAGGAAGGATGGTAGCGTAACCGACGGCACAATCAATGTCTTTGAAAGACGTACTCGCAGGCGCAATCAATGCGTTTTGGGAGCTAAACCGGTTGCGATATTATCACTTTGGAGAATATGAATCGGCAGTACATTGAATGATCTTGGAAAGGTGAATCGACGGGACGCCTCAGTTATCGCAAAGGCTTACGTCATAAGTATGACATCATCGCGAGAAGTTCGAGGGGATGGATATCAAATTCGTTTCTTATCATTTCACTCTAAGAAACGCGGGGACTATCTGTATACGGTAAAATCGGATGGTTCAATTTTCGATCATTACAACGCTTCACAAGCACGTTTACATAGGCTCGAGATTATGGTCGAGACTGACACCCGAAGGGTTGTCGACGTCCAGCCTCGAGGCAGTACAGATCGATGGTTATGACGAAAAAGTGGGAAGTCCCCAAGGCACGCGACTAGAGCTGACAAAGTCTAGTAGGCTAGTTCAGACCCGAATGAGGGCATTAAATGGTTGTACCAGCCCCATATCTTTTCAATAAATGCATTTGTACTATGTTGGGATTCTCCCTCATATATAAAGGGGATCTTTGTCATTTTGAAAGGGATCTGATACTCAATATTAAATATACAAGAAAATTCTCTTTGCTCTCTAATACATTCTCTTGATCTCATTACTTCCATTTATTGCTTATATCTATTATATTCTATTTATTATTCTTCATTTATTGCTTATCATTGATCATAAAAGGCTTCCATCAAAGCTATCATAACTATTAATCTCCCCTCGATTGCTCCTAACCGAGCATCGGACTCGACCTCGAGGCCCGTATATGCCAGCTCGAGATCCCGATTTCCAGCCCTCTGATTTGGCCATTATACTATCTACAAGCTCTTATCTCATTTTTTAATCTCTTACTTAGCATCTATCGCTTAAACAACTAGCATAAAAATAGATCACGTATTTTTAGAACCACATAATCAAATTTAATTGTAATTACCATTTTCAAGGTAAACACCCGCGATGCACGAATGTAATTGGTGCTGGAGAGGTATTAACACGTTCTATTTTGAATTCTGTTTTACGAGCTGCAAGCTATTTGATTGAGGTGATTATGTAGGAATCATCATTTGTTTCTTGGGAGCGCGTCCATTAACTTAGGAATTGCTAAGTTTTGTGGTGGCCTTTTAGGTTCATATCAATGGATAGCTGAGAAAATTAGGTACACTAAAAATGGTATGCACGACCATGCGCTTGTCACCTTTCAGAAAATGATGAGTTATAGAGTTCCACTGAATGAATCTTCACTTGTGTGCACTCTATCAGCCAGCGGAGAGTTGGGAGATTTGGATCAGGGAAGATGGATACACACATATATCATAAACAACAGAGAAATTGTAATGAGTGTCAGTCTTGGTACTGCTTTAGTTGACATGTATGCCAAGTGTGGGTGCATTGAGTTTAGTTATCAGTTGTTTAAGAATATGCCTCAGAGAGATGTCGTAACTTGGGGAGTGATCATTTCAGGTTTTGCAATACATGGGCAAGCCAAGAAATGCTTTCAACTATTTGATGAGATGATTGAGTCCGGAGTTAAGCCAAATGGAGTCATGTTTGTGGCTATCCTCTCTGCCTGTTCTCATGCAGGACAAGTCGGACAGGGATGTCACTACTTGGACCAAATGGTGCATCAGTTCGGAATTAGACCATCCATTGAGCATTTTGGATGCATGGTGGATCTTCATGGCCGTGCTGGGAGGCTTGCAGAAGCAGAACAACTCATTTTATCGATGCCGGAAGAACCTAACTCGATTGTACTGGGCGCATTGCTTAATGCTTGTAGAATCCATAATGATGTTGAGAGGGGGAGGTACTTATTCAAGCGGCTAATCAGTTTGGAACCTTCACCTGATCGATAAAAACTAGCAGCATCTGTGTTTACTAATCATGGAGAAGGCTACGAGATTAGAAAGTTGGTCAAGGATGAAGATTTGGTAGCTATATGAGGCTTGAGCAATATTCAGGTGGATGGGGTGGTTCATGAGTTCATGGCCAGTGATATCACGAATAACAGCCGGAGATGTCTACGAGACATATTAGGAGGATTAGTAGATCAATAAAGCTGGTGAAGTCATCTGATGGTTAGACTTCTGTTAAGATTGTGAGATTCACAACACTCGAAAAAAACTTCTGTAGGAAATAAAATTTGCTACTGGAAAATTCTTTGAGCCAGTCTTTAGTCTTTACCAATGCTTTTAATGTAAACAAGAGTGCTGTGGCAGCCATAAGTAATCACATCAACAGGTTAAAATGGAAGTGAAGAAAAGAATAGTATTTGTGTGGGGTGGGGGAGGGGAGGGAATGGAGGGAGGAGCACTGAAAACCATTTTTATAATATTATTAGGAAACTATTTTCCAGGAAATGTTTTCACTTCTAATAAAAAAAACTGGAAAATAATTAATGATTTGAACTTGAAGCATTCCTAGAGGTATTTCCACCTTTTTTTCACACTGCGGTATTAGTTCTTTGCAAAGAAAGGTGAATATTTTAATATGGAATGGCTTTTGCGATGATTTTCTTCTCTGTAAGTATGACTATATGAGATAGTAAAAAGAATACATCCATTAGATTATTGACCCTGAAAAATACATTGAAATACTATCAAAAGATCAGATAGTGGTACAAGTTCATTAGCTTCCTCTTTATCTCATCTGAGCTTCAATCAAAGCCGCTAAAAGGACGTCCCAGTTTCACCTTAAGCCTTCCAAAGAATCTGTTCAATCTGCCTCTTTATTTACAGAAGATCAAGTGATGTTGCATAACATAATTCATAGAAAACTGCAGCCATTATCACTGTAGCACTTCTTCCCTATGGTTAATAATCAGCAGCAATTTGGAACGTGGAAAAAGACTTCGTTTTTCGTTTTCAACCGCCACTAGACCTGTTCAATTCTTCATTCACTGAAACCATACTTGGCCTACTGTCTGGATCCTCAAGGGTGCAACTTGTTGCAAGTTTAGTAAGCAAAGTTGCTTCACTTACAGAGAATGTTCCCTTAAGATTTGGGTCAATAAAATTTTCGAAGTTGCAAGATTTAGCTGCAAGTCGCATTGAGCAGTCAAGAAGTCCTTTACCAGATAGTACTTGAAGGATAATTACTCCAAATGCATATACATCACTCTTTTCTGTAAAGCGTCCTGTCGTAATGTATTCAGGAGCCATATATCCAAGTGCAGCACTGACCTTAAGCGCTGAATAAACGACATCATCAGCAAGTAGCTTTAGTAGACCACAGTCCAGTATTAGTGGAGTGAACTGTTGATCAAGGAGGACTTTCTCCACTGATATGTTGCGATGAACCATCGAAGGTTTGTTCGGTTCGGAGCTGTGCAGATATCCTAGACCTGGTAGAAAGATGCATAATGATATCAGTAAAACGAAAATATGTAGCAATTGAATAAAGGATTTAACTTATATGCACTGAATTGTAAAGACTTTTGCACTATCAGTGTAATGTAAGACTAACAACAACAAATCCAGTGTAATCCTCAGTTGGGTCTGGGGAAGGGAGTGGGCACCCAGACTTTACCCTACCTTATAAAGATAGAGAGACTATTTCCGATAGACGTTTGGCTCAGGACAAGAAGCCAATCATGCCATGGCTGCAAAAACATTGAGATACAGAAATCTCAATCACAGGCCATACCGGGTTGCCACGCCAAGATACGGGTCGGATCACCTTTTTTCCCCAGGTAACTAGTTCCACTTATTATAGACAGTTCCTTGTAGTTATAGTGTAAGTGTTCCTTTTACATTGTCAATGTATAGAAGTTAACCTCTTACATAAGTATAAACACCAAGGTATTAACGAGAACATAAATATGTGGGCAAGTCTTCTGCGCCTCTCAACAACAATATAAACCTTAACTTGAAATCATTCACCATCATCCTATAGTACAGGTTTAATTAATTGGTGACCTCAGATATGCTAAAATTCAGCTCAATTATCCGTTGTCTGTTGTTTCTAGTATAAACAACTAAAACCTAAAATGCAGTGATATGAAGCACTTCAGTGGTAACAAACTGCCTGTGCAATGAAACTCCTAAGGGCTCGTATGGTTGCCGCGATTAGGCAATTTATACCACCATAATATTCCAAACTTAATATACTCTGAGAAATTTGTAGATAATTTTGAAGAAACGTTTGGAAACTGAACAAGATGCAACAATGAACAAGTGCAAAGAAAACCAACCTTTAGCAATCCCCTTGATGATTGAAACTCTTGTGGACCAATCAAGAACATGGCTGCTGTTTTCTTCAACATCAAGAAACTGAGAAAGGTTCCCTTTAGAAGCAAAATCATAGATTAAAAAGCACTCACCCCTTCCTTTTGAACAGCAGAAACCTCTTAACTTGACAAGATTTTCATGTTTCAGTGAGGTTAATAAGCTCAATCCTTCCATAAACTCAGTCTCCTCCGACTTACAACTCGTCACACTGATCATTTTCACAGCTACTATCGATCCATCTTTTAAAATTCCTTTATAAACCGCGGAGAAATTGCTCCTTCCCAATAGATTTACCTCAGTAAAATGCTGAGTTGCAGACTCAACTTCTTCCAAATTGAACTTAAATCCATGTAAGAACTCGTATCGCATGCTACCATAACCCTTTTCAGGAGTCATAGGGTCCCAATGATTTGAGTACTCAACAGTAAGTAACGGCGAGGGGCTTCTCTTATATATTTCCTTTGTCTGATCAGTACTAAGCCTATCATCAGATGCATCAGATGTATTTCCCACTCTTTGTTTAAACCTTCTACGCCTAAATATACCGAAAACTACAGCAACTATCAAAGTGACAGTGACTGTGATCACTGAAGCAACAATAATTACTTGAGGAAATCTTGATGATCTTGAACAGTGAGTTTGATTACAATGCAAGCGACTAACATTAGCCGTTTCTGGAACATCTTTAGGGACGCCGTTATTATTGGAATTAGGTTCGTTGGGATCAACTTGATTCACATTGACATTATCCCAGGCAGTGCAAACTCTCAATGAAGCAAATCCAGTACCACATAAACCAGGATTGCTTTCATAATTGAATTTTCCACTCAATCTCCTCAAAGCTTCAAAATAAGAAAAAATCAGAACACAATTAACAGACTATAACTTCAAAAATTAAGCCAAAAAAGGAAAATGTTAGATTATAAAATGGAAGGGAGCCTTGAAATAGCTGATAAAGTTGCTGCCATGTGACCAGGAGGTCACGGATTCGAGTCGTGGAAACAGACTCTTGGAAAGACTGTAAGGCTGCGTACAATAGACCATTATGGTTCGGTCCTCGAACCTCGCGCATATCTAGAGCTTAGTGCACCGGGTAGATTATAAAATGGCAAGCTCAAGTAGGGAACTAACCTGGAGGAACAACTCCAGTGAGGGTGTTGTTTTGTATTTCTAGAACTTCCAATTGAGGAGCAGTTGCTAATTTTGATGGAATTGGACCAGATAACTGATTGAATCCCAAATATAACCTTTTCAGCATCCCTTGGATTCCTAAATTTGATGGAATTTCACCTGTTAACATGTTATGTTCCAATGCAAGGACAATTAATTTTTTCAAGAACCCAATCTCTGTTGGTATGCTCCCTTTCAACTGGTTACAACTCAAGACCAGTGCTGTGGATCCACAAAATGCAACAAATCATATCAGAACAGACATCATTGTTAGAGTAGCAATTCCTTTTTTTTAATTTCCAAAATTAAGATCTTTAGATGTCAGCTCATTTTTGGAAAACAAAAATTCAGTATTCTGTACAAGACCAAAAATACAATTAGCAAGAAAAAGTAAAGACTTAAAAAATCTGAGGGGATGTAACAGTGGCGGAACTAGAAATTCTAATAAGGGATTCAAAATATGAAAGGAAGAAATTCTTGGAATAATTCGAACCTGCAACCTTAAGCAATTTTCGAATCACCTTTATTACTGTAATTAAAACTTCCCTTATGTCAAGAGAATTCAACAATTTATATACATACATTTAGCTAAACTTTTACCAAATTACATAAAATTTTACAGTAATATTTAGCTATACATACATAAAACTTCCCTTGTGTATAGTAATATTTTACAGTTATTACCGAAAAAAAGCTAAACTTTTATCAAATTAGCAAAAACAAAAAGCTGCATAGATATCTAATTTGCAACTCATCTTCTGTGTTGCTTAATTCATTTAGCTCCAGTTGGTCATAAAATTTGAGAGCTTTTTTTCAATCTTTCTTTTCAAATATCTATTTGTTATGGATTTTAACCATTTTTTGGTAGACTTTGAAAACAAAATCTTCAAATCCTAAAAAAACAACTCTAGAGTAGTTTTTGAAGTTTTCTACCTACAAAACTTCAAATTCTTATCAAGTAAAATGTATGTCCAAACGTATCTTCAACTATCAAAAACTATTTTTCATCTCGATCATCAAAAACTCATTTTTTTTTTTCAAGTTTCAACTAAATCTATGTCCAAACGCTAGTTTAGACTCCGCAATCAGCACAACACACACAAGGACGACAACAACAACATCAAAAAACCAACCAATTTTCCTCAAAATTAATTCCTACAAATCCCAACAATTTGAACAGAAGGATATTCAATTAAAATAGCTACAAACCTTGTAAACTCGCCATTCTTCCAATTTCAGGTGGTATAGTACCAGAAAGATTGTTGTCATTAAGGTAAAGATCAGTCAACTCAGTCAAATTCCCAAGTTCCTTTGGTATTTCCCCAGATAACAAATTATAATGCAAGTAAAGACCAGATAAACACTTCAATTCCGCCATTGCTGGTGACAATTTACCAGTAAGTCCTTTGCCTTGCAATGAAATATTTGCTATTTTATGATGTTCATTACAAAACACA